ATCCTATTACAATAGATAAAGGCCATATATATAGGCCAAAACATGAGAAAATAAAAATTACAAAATTGCCCATCGGGCTACAACACTCAAATAAATTAACCTAGGGGTAAAACATGAAATAACATAAAATAGAAACTAAAATGCAGAAAATAATTCATAAATGACACTTAAATCAGAGCCGTCGATTTACGGCGCCTCCTGTGATAGATGCGCCAGATTTTCGTGCCGATGTCCGCATCAATGATCAAATGCAATATAATAATTTACTGTTTTGAGCAGAGTAATAATAACATAATAATTATCCAAAAATTCATATAATAATAATGAGTAGTTAAATAAACTGAAATTTCATATCAACTTTATTTCACAGTGCAAATTTCTCTTGTCCTAGGCAGAATTTAAAGATTCTGGCCCTTTATAACAAAACATAATTCCCACTCTTTCAGACAGAATCCAAGATTTTGACTCCTTATGGCTGCCAACAGAATGAATTTCAAAGAGTTTCATATTTCTGGCATCAGTCAGAATCCAAAGTATTCTGGTCCTTTATATCTCTCAATAGACATTTTTCATATCAAAACTCACATAATTCAATCAATATAACACATAATTCATTGCAGTGCAATAATTAAAGCATAAAGAAACTCAATGCAAAATTTTCCTAACTTGCTATAACGGTAGGCAATAGAATACGCAACTGAGAAAAAATGTATTATTTTAGAATTTCACCAAATTATAAATGATTGTTCAAAACATTGTTTCAAAACTTTAATTGTACTACAACATTAATTTTTGGGTTTAAGATTATTTTCTATTCAATTAAAATGCATACATTTCAAAATACCCAGTATAAAATTTTTAGAAAATATTCAAAATGTTAAGAATCTCAATCTCTATAATATACAAAAAGTTACATGGTGAAAATTTTACTGGTATAAATTTATCCCCATTTTTTGGTAATGGAAATATAAATTTAATAATTTTTTTTAGAAAAACTTTATATTTTTTAAAACTGAGATAAGCATGGTGTTACCTATGTCGATCCGAACAACTTTCCTATTTCATTTGGATTACATCAAGGATCAACTTTATACTCATATCTTTGTGCTTTAGCCATGGATGTTCTTACTAGAGTAACTAGACATTTGCAAGAGGATGTACCCTGGTATGTGCTTTTTGTTGATGATATTCTTCTTATTGATAAGACTAGAGAGAGAGAGAGGGTTGAAGGAAAACTTGAATTATGGAGGTCAATCTTAGAGTCTAAAGGTTTTCGTTTTGAGTTGATCTAAAATCGTGTACATGGAGTATAATTTTTGTAGTAATAGATCTAGTAGGAGGATTGTGACTTTGGGCAATCAAGCCATTAAAAATATTATATGTTTTAGATATCATGTGTATATAGTTCAAAGTGATGGTGAAATAGATGGAAAATTTAGTAGTAAAATTCTAGTTGGATGGTTGAAATGGAGGAATGCATCGGGTTTTTTCTGTGATAGAAAAGTACCTAAAACAAACATAAGAAAAGCATTCTATAAGATGGTGAAACTTGCAATGCTTTATGGCTCAGAATGTTAGCCATTAAAAGAGAAACAACAACAACAACAACAACATCAAGCCTTTGTCCCACTACGTGGGGTCGGCTACATGATTCCTTTTTCTCCATTGTGTCATGACTAAAAGTCAAATTCTCGTTTAAATCTAATAAATAAAGATCATTTATAATATTTTCTAACCAAGTCTTTTTAGGTCTACCTCTACCTTTCTTAACTTAAGTCAAATTTATTAAGGGATAAAGGCTTGATGTTGTTGTTGCCTTCTTTGCTCGACAGACTGGATAAAACTTTAGCAATTTGATAATTACCTGCCAACTGATCTGATTCTGTTTTTAGTTTGCTACGCTGATAGATGCATCTTGAGCATTCAATTGGCCTTTTTCATAATTCTGTTAATTTCAGCAGCATCTATATCTTCTGACTGATCCAAATTTTTGTTTGGTCACCACTTGGCAGCACAGGTGAATACAAACCTGTGTGATAAGTTTTCTGTTGGTCGTTACCCTATGCTTCTTTGGGGTCCACCACCTAAATTTACTTCTACTGGATGGGATCCTAATCAGGAAAAAAGTGAGATAAAGTCAATTGATGATGCAAGGACAGCAGAGCAGTTGCTTAATTGGATAAATAAGAGAATTGGAAGGCAAGTTATCAAGTTTGTTTTTTGTCTGTTTTCTTTTTTACCTGGTTGGCTCTCTTCATATGAATACTGTCATTTTTACTTGCTGTTCAGGTTACTGTAACTATTGGTTGGTAGTTCTCTTTTTATCCATTAGTCCTTCAACATTAGACCTCCCACGATATTTCACTTTTTATTGGTGCTTCTTGGAATATTTTGGTTTAAATATAGAAATTTGCCTTTGCGGTCTCTGAGAAGAAGTAGGGCTATTTGTTGTGAATGTTTTGTTGGATTTTTAGTCCCCTTCTGTTGGTTCCTGACAACATTTCTCTAGGAGAATTTAAAGACAATGAGAGCATTGCATCGAGGAACCGGTCTATCCACAATTCGAATAAGCTTTTAGATCATCAAAGGCCTGTTCTTTTTATCACAGGCAAGCTGTTATTTCCTGGCTTTCGTCATTTCTAGGGGAGCAGAATTTGATTGCTCAAGGCAAACATAGGTGCTTCATGGAGTTGAGACTCTCTTTCTCCAGGAAGCCTCCTCAATATCTATAGTAATGAAACTTAACAGCATACTAAAACGGCACAGTCTTGAATTCTTTCTGTTTTCCCCCTTTTCTGACTTTCGGATTTTGTAAAGTTTTCTTTTTCATGGACATTTTATGTGCCATTGAAGATCAACAAATGCACTAACGATGGGTACATCTTTTATGGAGTGTTCTTGATTGATAATTGGCATTCGTATTATGAATAACACAGACATCACTTTTTGTTTGGCTGAATGGAAGAATGGCTATAGGTTTGTATGGCATAACTAAAAAAAGTTTGGAACCAAGTTAAATGAAGAATTCTGCAGTAGGGCTCATTCAACCCAAATGAATAATTTGATGTGGTTGATAATGATGAGTGAATTATGTGGACGTAGTTCTGTAGTAGTTAACTTGATAACTTAGGCTTACCCACTTATGTGGCTATTCAAGCCAGGAGAATGGCTGATTAAAGAAATGAAATTTATGATTTATTTTAAATAAACAATCACCATCCAAAAGTTGAATGCATCATCCCTTTCGATTTAGGCTTCGTTTGGTTATCCGATACCTTTTGTAAAAGATAGTTTTAGAAATATTGGTTAAGGGAATGGAGTTTTCCAACGGGGAAACAAATATCAATAAGCTTATGAAAACAACAGAAAAATGAAGTTACCTAAAAAACATTTCTATAGAAGTGTCCCACCCAAACAACGACAAAAAAATAATTTCGCAAAAAAAGGCCTCTCAAATGAGGCCTTAAAATCAGAGAAATGGTGGTGAATCAATCTGGTGCATTTTTTTAATCAACCTTTACTATTGAATTTCATTTGTCAAACTATAGTGTTTCGTGCCACATGCTAATTGCCTCCAAAATAGCAATTAGCAAAAGCATATAAGTAGTCTAGTAGCAGATTTGTTGAAAGTCAAAGATGTTTGTAGGAAAACTAAGTTTTATTTATTTTGAGAAAATAATCAAAATGGTTCATGAACTCTTTGTGAGGGACCAAATGGCCCCCAAATCTCTTTAGGTACTAATTTGGTTCCTCAACTCTTTAAAATATGATCTTTTTTATCTTAACATCCAATTTTGGAGTTAATTGTGTTAAATATAAGGGTATTTTTGTCATTTTTAATTAAACATTTATTAAATGTAATTTTTAAATAATTTTAATTTTTCTAAAAAGTTTTTCTAACCATTAACTCCAACATTGAGTGTTAGGATAACAAATGTTCCATTTTAAAAAGTTGAGGGGCCAAATTGATCCCTCAAAAGAGTTGAAGATTATTTTGATTCCTCACAAATAATTGACGGACAATTTTGATCATTTTTATACATCATTATGCTCTTTCAGACATTATAGACTGATTTTAATTGTTATTCTTTTTTTTCCAGTTCATTCAGTTTGGATGATGAAAAATATGATAATGAAAGTACTCTTCCATGGAATGCCACTGATCCTGAACAGGTTAAGTCCTTGTATGAAAATTATGGTGTTCATCAGGACCACTAAAAATATTTCTTGAATAACCTCTTTCCTTAAAATAATATGCTTGTTAAGAGACTAACTTTTTTTTTTTGCCTGTTGGTGAAGATTGCCCGAGCAATATATGATGTTGAAGAAGCAACATCACAGTCATTTGAGATAATCACGGATAGCAAGGTAGTTCTTCTATAGTTGTGCAAATTTTTAATTTTAAGCCTGAGTGATTTTGTTTATATATGTTTCAGAGGATCAGGAAAGAAACTCGTGCACCACTTATCAAGTTCTTCCAGCTTTTGATAGCTCATCATCCTTCTAAAAGGTGGTGATGTTCTTTTCCATTCGTTTGATTTTGAAAAGATGATCTTTAATTTCTTACTTTGGAAGTTGTTTTTCAGGTGCCGAAAAGGAGCTGCTGAAATACTCATCAATTTTGATGAACTGTGGCCTTTACATCTTTCTAATAGTTCACAAAATGCTTCCACATCTTATGCACGAGATGTGACGAAAAGTTTCCCAATTTGTGGAAAAGAAGTTCCTCGTGGCTATTGGGTAAGCATTCAGCCCAGTACATTCTTTCTGAACTGACTGTTCTCACTTTGAGCCGAAGTATTTAGTTTGTAGATTGTGTTGGTTTGCTTAGTTGATAATATTATGTTATGCTGCAGATATTTTGTCGTGGGAGTAGAAATGAAACAAGGGGGTACAGGTATTTTATCCATCTTCCCCTTCATAGCTCTTTTCTTTTTGTAGCATTTCATGCTTTTGCGACTTATTCATATTGTCTGCCTGTTTGACCAAAAATAACAAGTTTTTTTTTTGAATGTTCTATACTCACTTACGCTCATATCCTCACCTATGATGCACCGACACTTCTCCTCAAAGAGGCGTGCAGTGTCCGACACCGTATCTGACACGACACTCATCCGACACGTGTCGGACACGTCGAAAACGTGTCCGATTAAAAAATATTAAATACAAATTGGACACGCGTGTCTGACACGCGTATCTTAAATATTTTATGAATTTTTTATATATAATTTCTTGTATTTGGTGGGATTTAAAATAAATTTCTTATTTCCTATCCACAACACCAAATCAACGCCCGCACTTAATACCCAATCATCGAATATTCTCATTTTCATTTTTTTTGACAGTGAAGGTATTTTCATCTCCTCTCTCGGTGACTGATAAACGGCATCGACATCTGACTCTTGACATCCTAATACTAATCATTTTAAGCACAAATTCTAGTTAAATGACTTATTATCAAATTATTTTTAAAATTATACTTATTTAATTTTTATATACTATTTCTTAAATATAAAAACTATAATACCGTGTCCAACCCGTGTCCGTCTCCTATATTTTCAATAACTGACGTGTCCCGTGTCCGTGTCATGTCGTATCCGTGTCGCCTTGTCCGTGTCTGTGCATCATAGATCCTCACATATCAATACACAAACCCATGATCACTAAAAAGGGACCCAAGCACCAACCAACTAGTAGACCATAGGGTTGAAGATGTACGTTTACATTTTTCTTGCTTTTGTTGAAGAGAGTCTTCTGTAAAAGGGAATAGGCTGTCTCATCCAAATTCTTTATGTTGAGTGCATAATATACAAGGTAAGGAAAGTAAGTAAGACCAAATATACATTTTTTTAAGATAATAGTCATCAGTGATATCATATTATTCTTTCTATATACTCTGCGCACAATTTCTTCATGTGTCTATTATGATATCAAGGTCTACTAGACAGTCTAACAAAATAATAGGTCTAAAAAGTAAGTAAGCCAGAATTGGTTCCTCTTCAAACAAGAATAATGATTTAAAATAGAAGTGTTAATTTAGATGCCAGTTAGGGTATCTCCAACCGAACGTCAAATATGCGTATGGTGTCGTTCGATCACTCCAGCCGAACTCCAAATCTTCCGCTATTTGCTTGCTGGTGAATAGTGCGACGCCAAATTGGTGTGGCACTGTTCACCAACACGATTTTTCTGTCTCAACCAGGTTTGCCGAAGAAACACGCGCAATGGAGTTCGATTGTAGATGAATCACAACATTTTTAAGTTTCATTGCATTTTGGAGTGAAAAATAAGATTTTCGGTTGGAGATGCTTAACAACCTTGTTAACATCTCAAGCGGCCTTTGCTAATGATGATTGAACCAATATAAGTGGCGCTTTTCAAATGTTTTAATTATGAGGTTGAGATAGATGCATGTATTTGAGAAGCAAGTAGATGGTAATTTCAAACATTTTCACTTAATTGGAATCGATACAATGGAGCTCATGCCTAAACATTTATTGTAGTTGTGGCCTCTGGATTCTACTACACTCACTTTCTGTAAGAATTGGGGATGGAGAGGCTCAACTAACATTCACAGTTATACGGGATTTCATTCATAATTTCTTCATGTGTGAAGAATGCCGAAGACATTTTCATGAGATGTGTTCCAGGTATATAAACCTAAAAGCAGCTGCAAATTTCTTCATAAATTTCATAATTATTTTAAAAACTTTTTATTTTCATTTTTGGCAATTGTAGTGCCCCCGTCCCTTTTAACACAACTCGTGCCTTAGTGCTTTGGTTGTGGAGCTCTCATAATACTGTCAATGAAAGGTTAATGAGAGAAGAAAAGGAATTGGGAACTGACGACCCCAGATATCCAAAGATGATCTGGCCTCCCAAGGAGCTCTGTCCATCATGTTTAGTCTCTTCTAGCAGCAAAAGTGGCCACACCATGCGAGACTGGAATGAAGATGAAGTTTATAAGTTTATAATGAATTATTATGGAAGTTCTCTCGTCTCTTCTTACAAAGATGGGAGGGTCACAGACAGAATAAAGGATGAATCAGTTGATGATGTGATAACAACCACACACGCTGTGGCTGTCCCTGTTGCTGCTGCGCTCGCCATTGCCCTCGCCAGCTGTGCCTTTGGGGCTTTGGCGTGCTTTTGGAGGACACAACAGAAGAATCGGAAGTACTTACACCACTCTTTAAAGAACGTTTGATTAGTAGGAGGGTAAACATCCCTATTTTAGTTGATCTGTTAGGGAGGAATGTGGTTCATGTGAGATAAAACTTAGGCTTCGTTTGGGATGGATTTCTTTCTACTTCTTAAAGCGGCTTTCTAATACAATAATTAAAATTTTTGTGCTAGAAAGCCGCTTTACGGAGGAGTAAGAAAGCCGTCCCAAACGAAGTCTTATCCTTGTTTATAAATCTGTCATTAATTACTCTCTTGTTTCAGGCGGAAGAGCTCAAATTAGGAAGAGGTTTCTGCCAATCAAACTCCTCAATCTCTCAACTGATGGTCTTCTTCAAGGAAAGTGATTGAAATTTCAATGTATATTTATTGATCATCCAGATTTCTAGGTAATCGGTGCATTCTATTAAAAGGTCATGTGACCTGTACACGAAGTGGTTGCGTGGGATTCTTCAACTGGGCTGGATTTTGAAATCAGTTAGTTCTGAGTATGCAATATTTGCAAAACTAGTTTTAGATTACAGTTCACATTAGCAGCATCAGCTAGAAGCAGTCCATGCATTACGTGGTCTTTTCCAAGGGCAATAAATTAGTTCATTTGTTACAGCCAGTTTTGAATATCATTGAATCTTGCTTTCATGTGCCTAATGTGAACTGAATGGATCTGACTCATGAACATTATCTATAATTGTATTAAATTTTTATTTTCTTCCTTTTTGAAAAAAAAAAAAAAAATCTAAAGCTTCTCACTGTTATAGATGTACTTGAGAGTGCCTGGCCTTTGCCTTTTTTTTTGTTTGTTGAAAAGATAGTGTTGCAACTAAAGCGAGCCGAGTTGAGCTGAGCTGAGCAAGTGTTTGAACTTGCTGTTATCAATGATGACTTGTTCGAGTTCGATTCAAAATTTTTTATTTCTTTCAAATTTTGTTTGTTTAAAATGGTTGATGTTCATGTTTAATTTGTGTTTCATGTATGTTTGATTTATATTGTGTTCGAGATATCATAAGATAAACGAAATGAGCCTTCTTATCGAGCATTTCTAGCTTAAAAATGAGGAGTTTGTTAAGCTAAAGAAATATATTTTTAATGAACGAGTTTATCTATTAACTCAAAACAAACAATGTAGTAAATATGAATAAGTAATTCTAATTAATACATGCTATAATATTTAATTAATTTTGAAATTTATTTATTAATGCTTATTATGCTATTAAATTATAATAAATATAAAATATTGTTATTAAGTTCATTAATCTTATAGTGAAACTTAATAAAGCTTTATATAACATAATAATTTAGTTTCTTGATGAGTTTATTCATGAGCTTTTGTATGAAATATGAATTGAGCTTTTTAAGAGATGTTTTTTTGAAATATAAATGAGTCGAACAAATAGTTATTTAAGCTCGTTTGTTTAAACATTGGTTGAATTTCAGACCATAAAATTTCCCAATTGAATTCATTCTTTGGCACTTATCTGATTTCTGTATCAGTGAAATGAAGAAGTTGATCAGCTGCAGCCTGCAGCTGGCGGTAGAATCCATCAGAGAAGGCTAAGATGTGATTGCAAACTAGTAGTTTGTGCTATGTATGAGCTTCATGCTCTGCTCAGAGTTGTAATTGAATTTATTAATAATCTTATTCTTGAGCTTTGTATGAAATATGTATTGAGCTTTTTAATGAGCTTCATATTGAGTTTTTTCACGAGTTTAGGAGATTATTTTTGAATATAAATGAATCAAACCTATTTTTTAATCTTGTTTGTTTAAATATTGAAGATTTTAAAAAATGTTCAATCTTGTTTGGTGCTTTAATACCAAGTGTTCAAACATTGAATGTTTAATCAGACGATCAAGAACGAGTGCTCGATTCTTTTTATAGCCGTAAAGATAGTTTAACATGTATCCCATGTAGTAACATTTGGTGCTTTAAACTGTTCAACTTCAACACCTTCGTTGTTTGAATTTCAGATTATAAAATAACCCAATGTTTGATTGAGTTCCTTCCATGGCACTTATCTGATTTCTGTATCAGTGAAATGAAGTTGATCAGCTGCGGCCTGCTGCTCGTGGTAGAATCCATCAGAGAAGGCTAAGATGTGGTTGCAAACTAGCAGTTGTGCTATGAGCTTCAAGCTCTGCTCAGAGTTGATATTTCACTTGTCTCCTATATAAGGTACAAAATATAGAAAGATAATTGCACTAATGCTTAATGAAAACTAAAGGTTTGTTGATTTTCATTAGAAGGATAAGTATCAGTGAAGGAAAAATTACCTGCTGCTGCCGTAGTAGTTGTTGTTGCCAACACTGTAATGTGGTGACTGCTCTCAGCATTATGTACAGTGGCAGAACAATTCCAGCTGTTTTCAGCAGCTGGATCTGATGTAAGTAGAAACTGTTAAAACTGTTTTTTTTATTGCTTCTTAAAATAGCTTCATTGTTTATTACGTGCAGCGTCCGGAGGCGAATCTGGACGCCCAACATCACCCGGGGCCCAGTGCATCCGGGTGATGTGGCATGTCCGAACTCCCCTCTGGACGGTCTGGACACCGCACGTAATAATCTCTCTCCCTTGGGACAGTTTTTTTACTACTTTATAAAGCAATTTTTTAGTATAAAACTTTCTTTTTCATTTTTTTTTTACTAAAAAGCTGCATTATTAAGCAATACGAAAGCTGTCCCAAACGAAGCATGATTCACCTTATGATAATTTATGATTCAGGCTTCATTTGGAACGGCTTTCTAACTGCTTCTTAAAGTTATTTTCTAATTTTTTACTAGAAAACTGTTTTAAGAAGCAGTAAGAAAGCAGTCCCAAACAAAGCCTTTAGTCTACTGTGTGCATAAATCTTCCTTTAAATGTGAGAATTTCATGCATCAGATCAATCATTGTCTATCGTTACTGCCAACCAAAATTGCTACAAAAATCAGTCTGTTAGATTTGAAGCTATCTTCATGAGAGAAGGAATCACCATGAAGGTCTGGAGTGAATACTGTTCTGTGCCGTTGATGATGATTGTAAGTCCTTCCCGAAGTAACAAAAGAAGTAAAAACTGAAAGCCAAGTGCCAGTGAAAGCTGCTTATACCAGTAAAAGTTCAGTGCGAAATTTCTCTTTCTAACAAGTAAAAAGAACTCACTATTATAGCTATGGAACGGCAGTATATAATGCTTCTTCTTCTTGAAATGGAGTACTCATCATATTCAGATGGTATTGTTTCTTCATTGAACGGTGCTGTTGTTATCATGTTCGTAGTCATCATTCCATACTGGAAGAGCTTAGTAGGTGCATGATAGCCAGGCATGAATGGCTGAATCAAAACACAGAGACAATATTTGATTCTAAAATTATTGTTCATTTCAGAGATTAATAATTCGTTTGAGACATTTTTTTCAATATTTTTTTTGATATTTTTATAAATTTTTTATATTAAAAATTTACTTTAGAAAACGATAAGAAACTTATTTCAAATGAAGCTGACATAAAACATAATGGTCCCAGTTTTTCTTAGGTGATCAGGCAGACTAAATTTTTTTTTTTTAATTTTTTTTTTGAATCATTTAGGGTTAATAAGGAAATAATTTTAAGGTTTTTTGGGTTTACTGTAATAAAAAAATGGAGATTCACTCATTCACATATAATCCATTTTATTTCATGCTATTTACATATCTAACATTTAAAATTTTGGTATTTCATACCTACTACCTACAGAATAAACAAAAATGTAAGAAATAAAATATTAAAATTTGTAGGATAGTATAGGTGGTAACTAGGAATGAAATATAGGATTATCATATTTAATATTAAAATTGTATAAAGTGGTAGACATGAAATATTGAAATTTTGAGTGTTAGATATATGATTTTTTTAAAGAAGGACATGATGTTTAATTTAAATTAGGAATAAGAGCAGAGTATTAAATTTTTTTTAAAAGAAACAAATTAGCTAAACAGAATATTACCTTCCATTGAATGCACCAAACTGTTTGACGTATTTAGAATAAGTAAACAGTTTGACGCATTCAATGGAATGCGCCATTATGTTTGACGAATTGCTACAATAATTTCAGAATTTTGTTCGACTAACTAGGGTGAATGCCCCAAATGATTTGGCGCATTCTTTAGAATGTGTCATTCTGTTTGAATAGTTTGCTTCTTTTTAAATTTTTTAATACTCTGCTCCTATTTCTAATTTAAATTAACTCAACCATGCTCCTTAAAAAAATCTTAAATCTTTGGATATATAAATAACATGAAATAAAATGATATGTGTAGAAATCCTCCTAAAAAAAATTAATTGCTGAAAAAAAAAAAAATCAGTTCGATAATTATTGAATCTTTTAATTTTTTTTAAAATTTAATTATTCTATTATTTTAATTGAATAAATAAATTATTTTAGTTTAGCATAGTTTATCTTAATTATCATATTATAATACTATTTATTTCAATAACATAATCGCTTATATTAATATCACAGCTATTTTTTTATCTTATAATAATTTCTGCGCATAAACACAAAAAGAGTAAGCTTGAAAACGATAGTTCTAAATAACGTATTTTTTACCCGTCGGCATATTTCACAAATGATATCACCCTTCTCATCACACCACCTTTGTATGCATTTTCGATGAGCATACTGTAAGAAAAAAAATATTTAAAAAATATATAATATACAATTTTCTATATTAGGAAAATGAACCAAAAAAAGAAAAAGAAATTACAAAAAAAAATTTAAAATTGCAATTATACCTTCATAGTGCCACAGCAAGAGCATGGAGTTTCCATTTTGAAGACATCATCTTCATCATGGCAAATTCTGCAATCTACAATCTTACCAATTGTTTCATCATTAATATCATTTTTCTCAGGTTTTTCCACAGATAATTTTCTTACTTCAGCAGCTGCTTCTGCTGTTGATTCTCTCAGCAAATTGTCCACATGAAGCACAAAATGGTCCTCCATCTTCCAACAAAATTAAAGAGATATAATTAAAATTATTAGCTAAACTTAGGCTTCGTTTGGGGCGGCTTTTTTACTGTTTCTTAAAGCAACTTTTTAGTACAAAAGAAAGCTGATTTAAGAAACAGTAAGAAAGCCTTTTATAGTAGATTTCTAGTATAAAAAATATCTTCAAAGCAGTAAAAATATAATGATAAAAAGTTGTCTCAGACGAAGCCTACACTTATACATAAGATTCAAATCTTATCTATTTATAAAAATAACATTAAGATATTCTCACTTACATTAATAATAATGACACCAAGATTTTAAGGAGTAGAATAAGACTTCGTTTGGGACTACTTTCTTATTATTTTCTAAATCAACTTTTTAGTAAATTTTTTGTACTAAAAAGTTGCTTTAGAAAACATTAAAGCTTCGTTTGGGACTGTTTTTTTATTGCTTTCTAAAACGGAGTTTTAATACAAATTTTTTTATTTTTTTATTAAAATTCCGTTTTAGAAAGCAATAAAAAAGCCGTCCCGAACGAAGCCTAAGACAGCTGTCCCAAACAAAGCCTAAGTCTATCTACTTTTATTCTCAATAATTTATTTAACTCTTAATGATTTGATTGCATGAGAACTCATTTTCTTGTAGAATAAATAAGATGAGAGGACCTTTAAGTTATTTTTTCATTATTTTGTAATTAAAATCTGATAAATATTCAATGATATGTAAATAAATCTCTCATTCTTATATTTATATGTGTATTTTATGCTACTATCTTTCTTTTAAAAGAGTCGGTTAATAAATAAAAAAAATATGAAGATGTGTGACTCATATTTAGCTCATTTAAATAGGTTCACGAGTCATTATTGAGCTAAGCTTGAGTTGGCATAAGCAATACTAAAGGGTTTTGAATAGCCGAACAATTAGTAGCTAAGGCTCATTTTAGTTTGAGGAATTGAAAAAAATCAAATGAAAAGAAATGGAAAAAAAAATGATAAAGTAATTAAAATGAAGTCATTTGATTTCTGAGAAATTTAGTGGAAAATAAATTATCTTTGAATATTATGATCAAATTATTGGTTAGATGAATCACAAAAATTAATATAAATTTAAATGATTATTCATATATTATATTTATTATATAAAAAATATAAAGTATATATTTTGAGATCCATAACAATTAAATCTTGATTAGATATTTTGATCTATTTTTTTTTCTCTTTTTTATAGTAATAAACAAAAATATATTAATAAAATTACACTTTTGCTCACATTTTTTAAATGATTTTAATTAATTATTATTTATTTTGAAATTGCTAGGAAGATAAGATAAGAGAGAGTCTTCTTAGATGATCTAGTCACATAAAATGATGACATTCTGATGACCCGGTTAGGAAAGTACGTAGAGATATTAGATTTGACTTATATTAAAAAAGGTAGAGATAGACCTAAAAAGACTTAGTTAAAAATATTAGAAATGATCTTTCTTTATTAGATATAAACAAGAATTTGACTTTTAATATGTCACAACGAAGAAAAAAGATTAGCCAACCCCACGTATTGGGACTAAGGCTTGTTGTTGTTGTTTTATTTATATTGAAATCAAATATGAAGTAAAATGCTTTTGCATTCCATGACTTTAAATAAATTGCATATAATATGCAAAATTAAGAAGCCGAATACATAAGAAAAAAATGAAAATTCAAAGCACTTTCCTTGAAAGAAATCCAGGAAGAAAGCTCGAAAAACAGAATCAAAGCGGAAGAAGAACCCACCAGAAGAGAACACAGGCAATGGAAGGAAGAAGAAGAGATAAAAGGTGGCAGTTTTATCTATGTAGAAGAAGTTTCTTCTTTGTCATTCGGGTAAGGCAAATAAAGCAAACAGAATGCAAGCCGAGAAAGAAAACCAGCTGGAAGATGAAGACTTACGTACAAGCTGGGGATTGGATATCTTAAGCTAAGAAAGAAGAGTAAGGTGAGGTTCAAAGAGAAAGCAAGAGATGGAGTGTTGTTTATCCAATACTATTAATTATCATAAAATGCAAATGCAAACTTAGGACTTGTTCGGGATATATAGCCATAACTTTTTATAAAGTTGATTATGAAATTTTTTTGAAAAAAGTAATTTAGTTGCCAAGCAAAATTGTAATTGCTATTTGAAAAAAACAAAGCAGCGAGTTAATTGTTCCCAACATACTCTTAGACTTTATTTGGGACGGCTTTCTTACTGCTTCTTAAAGCAGCTTTCTAGTATAAGCTTTCTTCAACTTTTGTACTAAAAAGTTGTTTTAAGAAGCAGTAATAAAGTCGTCACAAACAATGTCTTAGTTGAGCAATCATATTTATATGCATTTTAGTGTGTTAGGTTGCATTTGTCCAAATAGTTTGAAATTACATTAGAAGAAAAAAAATGATATGTTCTCAGATAAATTAGGTTGATATACTAACTATGGTTGGCCCTCTCTAGAATATCTTGGCTTCTTTCCTTCATAAGGGACAAAATGCTTTGTTTTGTGTTATTTATAAAGGTTTGCACTCGTTACTAATTTAAAACATCCATGCATTTGTCATGCAAAATTAAAAGTTATGAACTGTTTCTCATCTCTATAAGAAATTTTCTATATGGCTTAATTGTTAATGAGAAATGAGAACTAAGGAGCAGCATGAAGAAGCTCCATGATTTTTATTATCATAATATTGTTGGTGGAGAACAATTTCTTTGGCATATTTTCCTCAACAACAACAACAACATCAAGCCTTTGTTCCACTACGTGGGATCGGCTATATGAATCCTTTTTCTTTATTGTGTTTTGTTAAAAGTCATATTCTCGTTTAAATCTAATAAAGAAAGATAATTTCTAATATTTTCTAACCAAGTCTTTTTAGGTCTATTCTTAACATAAGTCAAATCTAATACCTCTACTTTCCTAATTGGGTCATTGGAAGGCTGTCGTTTTATATGACTAAACCTTCTTTGACATATTTTCCTCCAGCCTGAAAATTATTCCTAAGCAAATGAGAATGAGAGAAGAAGCTCAGTATCATTTCAAAATCACTATTTTTCAGCAGCCCTTCTCGTGAGGGCCAATCCAACTGATATCTAATCAACAATGAGGGAGAACAATCTCTACAAGGACTCTGAATATTCAAGGTCTTGTATGATAAGCAATGGGGGAATCTATGTGCGAAGGCCGGTTATCAAATAAAAAACATAAAGGAAAAATTATGCTTTGCCAAATCAATGAGCTATTTAGCGTGGGAAAGAGATTCACATAGTAACTACAGGTGATTCATTAAAAAAATTTAAAATCAATTGTCTATTTGCAAATTCACATTAAAGATATTTCAATTAACTCTACTTTCTTCACAAAAGGAGCATTAACACTTAAATATTTGTTTGAGATAGTTTACTTAATGTTTTTTAAATGATTTTTTTTTTGTGCAAATTTTTTTTTGAATTAAAGATTTTTATACTAGAAAATTGCTCTAGAAAATAATAAGAAAGCTGCCCCAAACGAGCCTTAATCTAAGAAAATTTTATGGGAATATGTTTTGTTGAGCGAAGCTATCTAGAATTTTAGAATATATTACACGGTATGCAAAATGTGCCTAATACATTGAAGAGAAGAACGACCGGCCAGGAACTTTCTCCCCAAGGCTAATTTCAAAGAGATTAGTAAGTTGGTGTGCACATTATCCAAAATCAAGGTAATAGGTTTACCTTAATAAAGCTTTGTTTGTGACAGCTTTTTTATTGCTTTGTAAAGCTGTTTTTTAGTACAAATCTCTTGAAAGAAGGAAAAAAACAGTAGTCTAAAACTGTCCCAGAGGAAGTTTAATTAGCTAAAGCAGACACCAGCAACACAAGGTGCTTATGCCCAAAAGGCTGTAGGATAGCACACAACAGGAATTACAAAGAACTTAGTAACAAATAACTTGTTTTTTTTTAATTGGAGTGAGATGTAAAAAGAGATTAATAATGCAGCCTGTAATAACTGAATGATAAAATCTTAGAAATACAGATCATCTTGGTCTGTTGGTACTTTTTTTTTGTGATAAAATCCACAGAGGGGCCTACGCGTTAATATCAAAAAATGGTTACAAGGTCCTTAATAGGAACCTCCAGCTTGCTAATGCTCATAAGTGCTACACAAAAATAAATAAAAAAAACTAAAAGCTGGTGGTTCCTAATACTAACAATTACAAAATAACATAGTAACATGTTAGGGCTGTAAGATATCAGCACCCAAAAAAGGAGTTGAGAAATAAGAGCAATAAGCATAGAGCTCATGCAAAACTCAAAAACAAACCTCCAAAATCTCTGAGCTTTTAGCCTCCACTGCTTCCAATCAGGATGAGGAGATCCAGAGAACGCACTCCAAACCTGCAAAAAAGAGAACCTCCAAAAAGGCCAAGTAATATTAAACTTGTCATGCCAATGATAATAACGAGAACTACAACACATGATGAACCAGACGACAATGATCATGCCTTTCTTATAAGTCCCATTAATAAGACTGGAACGAAAAAAGACAGAAATCTCACGGATCCCTCTGCAAGTCGACCTGAGCTGGCAATTACAAGTAATGACGTGCATAATAAGCAACAACCACCTAAACCAGAAAAACCCATCCTCATTCCCAACAACCATAACAGAGACCATAAAAGACTCCCATAAACTCCCTTGGACACACACAGAACAATTCTGCCTCAAGTTAAGGAAAAAAGGGAGGATCAGGGCAATCCATGAATCAGCCATATCAACCGCCCAGCAAACCCATAAAGTAATAACCATAAAAAGCATAGAAAAGAAATACCAGAAAAACACCACTTAATGTTGTCTAATATATGGTAAACCCCCACGATCCAGGTTAACCAAACCTTTAACAACAACAGGAATATCATTATCATTGAACTCAAGTAAACCAGGATAAGTGCAGCCCATTTTGGCCAAAGCATCAGCGTACCCATTACCCTCACGGAAAATGTGAGAGATCTTATAATTAATGCTGG